TCTTCATGTCCCAGCGCTTGAACACACATGCGTGGCCAATGAGTGAGTCGGTTGAACCGTTGGTCGTTTGCTTGGCTTCCTCGGTTCTGAGGAAACGCGAGATGACTTGCCTGAGGACATCGACATTTTAGGCCAAGCAGCCATGATGGGGTTGAATTGCTCCATATATATGGCCTTTTTCGGCCACAAAGGTTACAAATCGAAAATCGGATTTTACAGCTAGGATTTTCAAGGATAGTCACCAGCAAACAGAGCATGCAACCAAAAGAATATAGCGAAATGTAATGCCAATCATTGCCAAAAAAAAAGGTCCAGCAAAAGGTGGACCTTTCTTTCGGTTGCGTGCGGCCCAACTTGAAGACATCAAGAGACCTCAAACTAAAATGAGTTTTCCATTTGTTGATAATGCCCCTTACTCGCTTCCAACAACCAATATTTGCTTCCATTGTAATTTCACTTTCCTTTACGATTTGGGGTTGGCATTTGGTATCGATTCTGGCCATCCGCTTCTGTCTTGTTGTCACACCCATTTTTGTTGTCACCCGTTTGGTGCAGGTTCGGACGCTTTTGTGGAGCTTAGCCCTGGCCCACCACAGCCAGTGCAAACAGGCCGGGTGCCGTTTGTGGCTGCAGTGTTGAACAGTCCCAAAACTGTTTGCATTAGATGATTTTTGGTTGGAAATGGTTGTTTTTGTTTAACATGTTCCAGTATCACCTTGAGGTCTTTACCAGGCGAGGCCCTTCCTTTCCCGATGCACTACAGTACCCATTGAAATTGAAGGGTTTGGAACTCAAGTATGTGTCAAACTACAAACTCAATGACTCGAGAATACTAGAGATATTGATTGGTCATGTGTTTCTTAGATTTTGTGAATAGAACATGTTTTGGGTACCCAGACATATGGGACAGGTTGTGTTGTTCCATCTGATGACATCTCAACATTCAGAAAAATAAACCAGGCACAAGCTCACAAAACGGCATCCTTCAACTTAGATGCTTGTCGTGAAAACGGCATTTTTTTGCAAGTTGAGGGGCCTGGCAACTGTTGCCCTCCAATCAAATTCATCCTTTCCAGTTCACATAGTTTTTCTGGAAGAACGTTTAAAGTGGGATTCACAAGCTCGGGATTGAAAAGGAAAAAGTGGTCAGTGGAGTTAACGCACTTCTAGCATGGTCATTGAGTCCCATTAGTCATTAAATTCATGTTTTTTGGTGATTGGATTCTAATACCATTAACCCATATTAGAACCTTCCAAATTACATTGAATTCCACTAAGTCCCACTCAATTCCAATGGTTTCATCGTTTCATCTTCGCGCGCTGGTCAGGTGGGGAAATCCCCAAAGCGCGCATCTTCTTGGAGAAGCTAAAGGCTGCGCCGATGGGGGGATGATATTGGGAGGTTATAACGATATGTATATAAATGGATATGATACCGTAGATGGACGAAATATTCAAACCCCTTCTATCCGGTACAACCCCCTCACCCCCAAAGTTCAATGTTATTGTAGCCTGAAGTGCGTTAGCCCCAATGGACGAAAATAATCAAACCCCTAACATCACTTTTGCTAACACGCGCGCTGAAACATTGAGATTTGGGGGTGCGGGGATTCAACATAGTGCGTGCTGCAGGGTTTGAATATTTTGTCCATCTACTGTCTCGGTCTCTGATGTTTTCAAATCTTTTGGTCTCCAAACTCTGTTGTGGAAACCTCAATGTGCATGCTGGTGATCTCATTCCAAACTGCGCAAGACATTGCCTTTTCACAAGTAAATGCCTCCTGTCTGTCTCCCGTCCCATTTTTTCTATTTTCTAATTCGCAACTTATTCCTAAGTGCACAAAACATTGTGTTTTCACAGGTAAAGTGCAACCTTTGTGCTTCCCGTCCCATTTCTTCCTATTCCCTAATTCGCAACTTATTCCAAACTGCAAAAAAACATTGTGTTTTCTCAGGTAAATGCTGCATGTGTATCTCGTCCCATTTTTTCCCATTCGCTAATTCATGACTTGTTCCAACATGCGCAAAACATTGTGTTTTCAAGTCTCTCTCGTCCCAGTTTTTTCCTATTCCCTAATTCACGGCTTATTCTTTGACGTGGCCCTGCCAATGGATTTTGCAACTTGAACAGCATGAGACAGCTCCTAATTAAGAAAGGAAATAATTTTCTCTTAAAAAGAAGCAGCACGTCACAAATGACATAACCCATTGGCAGGGCCACGTCAAACGAATAAGTCGTGAATTAGGGAATAGGAAAAAATGGGACAAGATACACATGCAGCATTTACCGAGAAAACACAATGTTTTTTTGCAGTTTGGAATAAGTTGCGAATTAGGGAATAGGAAAAAATGGGACGGGAAGCACAAAGGTCGCACTTTACCTGTGAAAACACAATGTTTTGTGCACTTAGGAAGAAGTTGCGAATTGGGAATAGAAAAAATGGGACGGGAGACAGACAGGAGGCATTTACTTGTGAGAAGGCAATGTCTTGCGCAGTTTGGAATGAGATCACCAGCATGCACATTGATGTTTCCACAACACAGTTTGGAGACCAAAAGATGTGAAAACATCAGAGAGCGAGACGGTACCAACTGGGGTGTGCGGCATGCCGCACACCCCAGTTGGTACCGTATGTGCCCTGTATGGGTCAAAGTCATTGGGTACCCCAATAATTAGGTGGAATATACATGAATATACCATATACCCATACAATACACCATACTGGACAGGATGGTGCCCCCAAGTTATGTTTGTTGGTTTATAAATCCCATTAGCTAGTTCGGTATATTTACCATAAACTATCGTTTTTTCGCCACTTATGTTCGGCAACTGAACGCGAGCTCGACTGGGGCCCCATCCGATCATCCTGTGTGGGAAGATCATAGGGATATAACATGGGGATATGGGATACATATATTGATATGATAGTGGTTTGCCTTCTAAAGATCTCATATCCCCATATCATATCCCCATGTTATGTATCATGATAGGATTTAGAACATGGGGTATACCTTCTAAATGGCCATCTAAGAGAGAAAATGATGATTCAGCCATGGAAACTATGAGGGGCCATATTTTCAGAACCCATATGCGATCCATTACAAAAGGGTATCAACATGATAAGTAGTGATTTGACCAGAAGGGTTTACAAACTAGTATATAAACAATAAAGGGGTAATCATGATGACAATCACAGTAGATTATTCATTGTGATAGTGGACAATAGATGGTTGTTTTGATTATTCATACTGATTTTACAGCTAAAATCCTGGACCATCATGGTAAGATTATCCCTAAGTTCAACAAAAGGATCTGACCTCTGAAAGTGCGTATGGCAAAAGAAAAACCGGGTACCAAGTGCAACACCATCCCGTTTTACGGCCTATCAAGGATGGACGCATCACTTATTCGCAATGATGGGTGTTTGTGAACAAGTATATATGTGGCTTTAACAATTTTGTTTTTGGCCGTGTGCCCTGCTGTTAGCTCCAGATTATTGATGGCTTCAGTTTCCCAAAACCCGACCCCATCCAGCATGTCAACATAGGTCATTGTACCTGCCGCTAATCAAACATGGCTAGCCGGAAAATCCCTTATAAATTGACATTTAAAAGGGAAACCATCTATAAATTGATTTTCCCTTATAATGTTGGGTACCAGAGGGTACATCCCCAACATGTTAAATCCTTCGTTCATTTTTTTCTAATGTGACATCCTAGGTGCCAGGGTGAAAAGAACCCTCACGCCGTTTATCTACCATTATTGCTGTTGCAAATATGCCACTTTATTGATTTTAATCTGACTATACTCCAACGATTCCCTGACGAGTTTCATATCCCGATCTTTTGGAGATGAATTCAACAGTACCAACCCCCATTTTTTGGACTCTGAGAGGACCCCATTGGGCCGCCACATTCATTATTTTGCTGGTCTTCAGCATTTCTGTTGGGGAAATCATGTCAAGCCACACACACACACACTATATATATATATATCTATCTAATATAGTATATATTAATATACCACACATATATTGTATATATAGTATGTAGAATATCATGTATAGGCAGATGATACACACACACACATGCAGTCCTGCCGCGCTTAGCATGCGATAGGTCACAGATCTGGAGGTGGACGAACGTTCCGGCTCCTTGGCCCATGGGAAATTTAGCCCCCCAAATCCACGTTTCAACAATGGGGGTCTAGACCAACCATGGATACAATAGGGATACACTGTGATGTATATCCAACAACAGTGATCTTTGGGTGTGTCTAAAAATAGAGTTTATCCCCCATGGCAATTTTAGTCTGGAAATGATGATGAACCAGTGGATTCTGGAGCGGATTCTGGGGTATCCTATTTTCAGACAGAGCCACATGGATTCTATAGAGTTCATGGTTTTTAAAAGGTTGATCACTGGTTTTTCAATGTTAATTCTGGATATCGGTTGAGAGTTAGCAGGGCTACTGGATTGGGTACCACCACTAGAAACGGAGATTTCACCATGAAAAGATGGGCATCTGGACCAGAAATGATGGTGAAAGTCGCGGGGAACCTTGATTTGAGGGTGAAGAACTTACAAGTTTCCGGGTTTCCACTTTGATTTGTTGGGAATTCTTCTCGCCCAAATGGACATCCAAACATCAAAAGTTGGATTTGACTCACACAACAGTCATTTATACCATTTATACCCTTTATACCTGGCAATTATAGAGAGATTGACCCACAAACATTGGGATAGCACGAAGTGAAATGGGTTTGCCCCATTAAAGGGTGAGCGGTTTCACATCCTTTCGTCCATCTCGACTTGGAATGATACATGTGCTTTTGGTGAAAGAATTGGGGACTGGGTAGCACTGTCCTTCCTCCAAAATGGATTTTCAAAGATGATCCGCCAATTAGTTCTTATTGGTTTTCGGGTTCTTGTTGGGTGTGTTGAATCAGGTTTCACCGGTTTCACCCATAGCCGTGTTTGAATCTTGTGGCTCAAAGCAGCGCAACTGGCTTCCCATCCGGTCGAATCATCAGTGGTCATGGGAAGTGTTCCATTCTGCGACTGTGCACAGGCCTGCAGCGAGCAAGCGCGGGCAAAGAAGAAGCACCTAGAGACTGAGCGGCTACAGGCGGCTCGAACTCTCTTTGAGCTCACAGATTTGAATCTGGATGGATCAAAAGCCCTTCCCCCTAATATGAGATTTTCCCACATGGGACCCCAAATGGAACGGATCCAATATGATCCATTGCTGAACACCAGTGTTTCAAGGGGGATGTTTAATATTAGGGAGAAGGGATCAGCTATCAGATTTTCCGATGTTTGGAATGAATGGATGGGCGGGTAAACATGACATTTTCGATAGATTTCTCACTGAAAAATGTGCCCTTTTGCATGGTCAAACACCAAGGAACGGAGATGGGCTCATCTCAGTTGAAGAGTTTGCGCTGATGGGCCTTCTGCAGACAAAGGTTCACAAGGAAACTGCTTGGTGGTTTCAAATCTTGTTATTTTTTATCCAAAAATTGGAATGATATAATCATGTTATCCAGTTCATCCAATTTTCATCCAAATGCATATATAATAAGTCATAAGTCATTCCCAATGACAATCAAGTCCCAGTCTTGTTGCGGTTACACCGTGTCACCCAACCACCAGGAGAGGGCAATGACCGTCGAAGAGGAGGAGCAGATTAAGAACATCTTTGTTCAGCGATTCGGGCGTGACATCAACGCCGACCTGCGGCCGATTGCCTATGCCGAGTACAAGGACTACATTTTGTGGTTCGTGAATAGCATGGACCCTGGAGACATGCAGGCGTGAGCACAGTTAGAAAATAATAATCTGATGTTTCTGCACTAAGATGGGTTGTATCAAGTTCTTATTACTGCTGCCAGCTATGAAGTCTCAACAGATGCCAAGCAATGCTACCAACCTGAGTCGTTGCAAACCGCAGTGTTTGAAAGATGCATCAAGTATATTCTTGCAGACTTTGTGAAAGCTGTGGAAAGACTAAGTGACTAAGTGAGTGCTTTCTTTTGGAAACCTGTTCCCCTCATGTGTTCTCCATATCTGAGGCCCAGTCACTGATCTGGGACGGCATGGTGGTGGAAGCCACAACGGCCCGCCAGATGGCCACGGAGAACTCCTCGCTCTATGTGGCACCGATGCTGCCAAGTCTCCTCACCAGTTTGGGCCAAAATTGCCCATCCCCGAAGCTCGTTCTGAGCCGGATCTGAAGAGACCATGGCGATGGAAACTGATGGAAACTGATGGAAACTGATGGAAACTGATGGAAACTGATGGAAACTGATGGAAACTGATGGTGACTGGCTGTGATCATTTTTTTGTGATCATGAGCTTTTCTAGAGAGGACCTTCCCGAAAGGTGAAACCTCGATCTCACCCTGTCGATCGTCATCCGAGCCTTCCGAGGCATTGAAAAAACAGGTCGGTCAGCCCCGCCTTGGTAAAGAACTTGTGGATGTAGCCAGGGCGTCCAAGCCCACCAGGTCACCATGAGTAGATTTGAATAGATCTACCACCCAGAATGGGTCGATGCTGCGAATGTTAGGTGTATTTCAGAGCGATATTTAGATTCGGCTGAGAGTAAAGTTGCCATTTTCGTATCCTCAAATGGAAAGGAATGGGAATAATGCATGGTATTGCCATGAATTACCATGAATATTCATTCGTACCGATTCGTACCCACATTTAAGGCAGGTTCAAATCAGGGATATTTGATCAACAATCTGCATAGAACCTGGGATATGACTATTATTGATCATCATTCATGTATAGAAGATTAATGAAGATTATAGGCCTATTTCACTTTGTTTGCTCTGGTAATCTAACCTGCTGGTGTAGATGGAATAAGATCATTGGGATTTCCATAATAAAATGCTAGATTGCTGAAGGGTGTATCCCCCACTTCTTAATGGTTCAACATGCTTCAACCATCGTGTTTGGTATATTAAGATATATTTTGACCCAACTTTTGGGGTAGATCAATTCCCCATCTATTCATGGGTAAAAGTTTGCGATTTCAATCATCATTTTGACGGAAGAATTTTGACGGAATCGCCATCGATGCCCAGGTTCCGAGATGCTGATCTCCACCTGTAGGTGCTGAAATCCCGGATGGAGACGTAACTTTCGCGACCAGTTTTGATGGAGTTTTTTCCAAGCTACCATGAAGATCCATGAAGGTTTTATCACTAAAAGACGTGGAGTTCCTAATGGTTCGGGATTTTCGATGGGGATCAATGGGTCTAATGGATTCCATTCCAGGCTCCAATGGGTCACAATGGGTCAAAATCATCGAGTTGGCACTGGAATTTCAACAAGACTTAGAAATGAAGAATGACTTTGACAGGCTTAAATTTGGACTTTGAAGTGGTACTTGGATAGGGATCTGGTACGTTCAATCCCATTGATTGGATTTCAAGGTGGGGCTAAATTGGGGTTGAACATTGGGGTTGAACTTCAACATGTGGATGGACTAGACAGGACTCAACCGTCAACAATTGAATATACCTCTCAAAAAACGAAGATCACACAAAAATGAAAATCACCATATGCACGCAACAATCTTGGATGTTTGCAGGATTTTTGGGTGAATTTGACCCAACAAAGTAAGAAATCAAAGTAGGTGGGACACCAAAAGACTGGCTGTAAGCCACTCTATGCACCCAACAATTGATGGTCTCTCAAGTCCCTGCTGAAATGGAATTGCTGGTACCCGGAACCAACATGGAAGAGCCCAATTTTAATGGGGACCCCGTGACATGATATTTCGTTCACCCGGATGATACCCTGGCTGTTTAACATCACCGACTCATATTTCAAGCCGCGAAACTGTTGTGCTTTCCCCAAATGAATCAACAGGTTCTTTACTGGTAAGAGAAACTCTCAATCCTGTGCCCTTAAAGCGCAGTAATATGATTCAAAATTCAATGTGTTTCTTTTTAGTCTTTAGTATTGAAACATGATTCTAGTAAGCACCCGAGTGATCGTGGATCGTCGTATCAAGCTGTTCGACTTTCTTCAATGCATTTTTTATAAACGTATCAAGCAAGCGCACTTTGAACAAACAATCTGCAACATCACTGGATGAAACTGGACAATCCCTCTGAGTCGCAACAAAAACCGGGTTAAACCACTTGGTGACTCCCGGTTGACAATCGGCCTGCGATTGGATTTTCAACATCAATATGATTGATGAGGGAAGCTGGTTACATAATTTTACATAGATACTCATAGAGTATCATCAATTTTGTGTAGATCTAGATCCCAGATGAGATATCTATGTAATTAATTAATTTTGAGTATCCCAGATTGTTGCAATAAATATTGAACCATTGATCACTTAGATCATTTCACCATAGTATCTTTGGTTCATCATGGATTTTTAAGTACTGTAGATCCAAAAATCCCAGAGAAGTTTTCTATTATGTAAAAAAAACAACAAGTAAAAACAAGTATAACGCCATAATAATCATATCCCAGATTCTTACAATATGTTACATATGGGTATGGATGAACATCCATTTTTACTGGGTTATTCACATCCATTTTAACCCAGCTATTTTGATGTGAACTACAGGGCTACATGGTTTTGACCCATTCACATATCATAGATTCTAAGATCATTTAAAAGTGAAAAACCCGGGTTGGAGCCTGCAGGAGCGGAGATGTCGAGGCAGCCGAGTGCGGTCCTCGCCGAGATAATCACTGAATTTGGCGACATGGGGCCAAGGACTTTGCGGATTTTTGGGTTTTCCAGCAAATACTGGGATATCCATGAATATTAATATCATATATATATATATATTATACTAGATATTTTGTTATATATATACATACACCATATATTTTATTATAAATATACATTGTATTATGTATTACATCTATTATATATATATATATGTATAAAATCCAAATAATGATCAGATACTCATAAGAGAAACCTGTATAACTAATACCGTAATACCAAGAATATGAAATGGGGAACAACTATTTTACTGGTCGATTTTCAGTAGGAGATGCATTTCTCAACCTTGGGGCTTCGTGTTGGATTTTAGCAGTGTAGCGGTGGTTATTCTTGTCACTTTGATGCACTAAACAATGGCCAACCGGTAGTCAACTTTAATTAAGTGTGATGACGCTGGGAGCCATGTCTTCATATCTCTATATACACTGTCTCTACACATACAATCATATACATATGTCTTATGTATATATATATATACATATTATATACATATATACACAATATCATTGTATATATATATATACACACATATATATACATACGTATATATATATATATATACACATATATATATACACATATATATATATGCATACCACATTGGTACAACGATGTTATCTTTTTTGTTCAAGCTGCGTCCTGCTTAGATGTTCTCCAGCCCTTTCAATTCCATCTTCGTTGATGGAGACCAATCAAAACACATGTTGTCTTGAACTTCCAATAGCTCACAGCGATTGGAGTACCAACGTTGTGGTACTTAACTCATTATAGGTCCCCAACACACCCACCAATAAAAGAGCCCAACCGTCGGGTGAATTGTTGCGCCATGGCGGCTGTAAAAATTGAACACGCAGATTTGCCCCAGCATTCACTGTGCATCCTGCAGCAGTTTCGTGAATTCTGGACAAGAGACTATCTTTGTGACGTCGTCCTGAAGAGCAATGACGGTGCAGAACATCGTGCCCACGCTGCGGTGCTATCTGCCACCTCCAAGTTCTTCAAGAGTTTGCTGGGCGGATCCTTTCTGGAAGCAGATCGGGTGCAACGAGGACAGCCAGTGGAGATTGCTGCTTCTAAAACAGCGGTGTCGGCCTTGCTTGACTACGTCTACGGTGGGCAACCTGAGGTGAATCTGGAAGCTGGTGTTGAACTCCTACGACTGGCGGAGGCCTACGACTTGCCAAAGCTAGCAAGTGCAATTGAGGCAGGCTTCCATGCTTCCTTGGACAGCAATTCTGCCCTGCAGATCTTGCAAGAAGCACATGGCCTCCATGCTCTCAAGAGGGCATGTGAAGAGAAGGTCGCACAGGATTTTGAAGCTTGCAGCCAGCATCCAGACTTTGGAAAGCTCGATTCTGGTCAGCTGGCCCGAATTTTGAAAAGGGAGGATTTGGCCGTGTCTCGGGAGGAAGAGGTGTTGAAGGGCTTATTTAGTTGGCTCAGAGTCTCCAAGGACAGGAATGCTTCGCTGGCTATGCTGCTACAACTTGTGGATTTCCATTCCATTGCTGTCGAGAATCTGCTTCGACTTGGCCGCTTGAGTCTATCAGGTCCGACTGGTGACTACCTGCACCGAGAAGTAAATGAAGCGTTGTGCCAAAGACGAATCCAAAGCTCACAAGACTTTCAGCCAAAGAGACATTGTTTGAAAACTTGGTCACAAGATTGGGGTGCCTACCCTGGTGCTCTAGGTCACAAAGTATTGGATGTTAAGTGGAAACATTTGCGTTGGCACGAAGGTAGCATTTACGCCATGGACTCGAAAGGTGGCATCCAATGTTGGAAGCCTGGAGACCCGGCAACCCACGTCCGACAGCTTGTGGGCGAAGGTGCCACGGTGATTGGAATCAAGGCGCTGGGGCGTAATAGTCGCTTTGCAATCGGGCCCACGGGTGAGATCTTTGTAGCAGACAATGAAAATAAGATACTTGTTACTTTCCAAAATGGATCTGGACGGTTGGTTGACGATTTGGATCCTAACGCAAGAATATATTGCTCGCCCAACGGAGTGCTGTACGTAGTGACTGACAAAGCTCTGCAGAAGTTGGAGGGCTCGAGGCTCCAGACAGTCGTGACCTTTGAGAGTCTTCCGGAAGACCTGCAGTTCTCGGCCTTTGCCATGTTTGTGACCAAGGAAGAGGTTATCTATGTCCTTGATATCAGATACCATCGCATTCTACGTTTCAATCCAACTGAGTCTTTTAAACCTGTTGTCGTGGGACAAGTCCCAATCGAGCACCAACCAGACCTTTGGGACATCTTTGTGACTGAAGGCGGAACACTGTATATTGCTGATGCTGGACAGGACAAGGTGTTAGTCATCCGGCCCGGCGAAGCAGATTGCACGGAAGTCTTCGAGAGCGGCGGATTGAGCCCTGTTGCAGTTCTGATTCACGACAGATCGTTGTACGTGAGCATGTGCGACGACTACGGCACAGAAGGAGGTCTCATGGAATGTGTGTTTCCCCCAGAGCTTCACCTTTAAAAACAGACCATGTCATGT